ACATTTTTCTTTTTAAAACTATAGGCTTTTCGTAAAACCTGAGGGATTGATTTTAAGGAATACTGACACCTAATGCTATTACGGTTGAAATCATTATGATTATTACTATTTTATTACGTATATCGATCTTGTTCACGTTTTAACATGTTACATTGAATTATTTTTCTTATTTTATGTAATACAAATATAGATTGTAAAAAAAGTACATCCATAAAGTACAGTGTTATGGAGTACATTTTTCTTTTTAAAACTATATTATTAATCATGGATATTAAAAAAAATTTTAGAAGAAAAAATCGATTGATTTCGTTGGTTTAATTTAATTGTTATTAAACGGATCAAAGCATCTTATTGGATTAGTTAACTAACACAACGATGCCGTATGATTTTATTTTCATGTGTCGTGTAGTTCGTATATTTCCTTTTACTAACAGCTTCAAGTAATTATAAATTTAGTTATTTAGTAAATTTAATGTATACTTAAAAAAATTTTTTTTTAAATTTTAGTTTGCAGATAAAGAAACGTTGTTAGTTGCAAAAAGCAGTATAATTTCTTGATTTTTTTTTTTTAACGAAAAAAGGAACGAGAGAAGGAAAGAGACAGATGGTAATTGATAAGTCCCTGGTGACCATCATTCCTATTTTTATAATTAATAGAATGATTGCAAATATTCAGAAGGAATTTATTGCATTACTTTTTCCAGGAAATGTCTCGAGTGTTAATTTTAAAACTTTACATTACATCGTACATGGATGGCATAATTTTGTAAAATGATAATCATTACATTTAATTTTTTTTTTTTTCTTATGTATGTTTAAATTATTCGCGTACGTACAATATGTACGTACAATACAGTATTGTGTTAAAAGCAGTATTTAAATGATTGACAGCAGCTTATAATTTTAAAAGTTTTTAATTCATAGTCCAAGAGTTTCGGCAACCATTTACCAACATTTTTTGTACAATTACTTAAACACCACGTTGAACTCACTCTATATTTTTTGTTTCACTAACCACTAACCATTTGATTCGCGCACGAGAGGGTATATAGAAAAAGTGACGTGCACAAAGAGTTTGCTTGTTAATAACCAGTCGTTACCTTCATAAATAAAAAAAAGACGATTTTTCAAGCTCTCAAGCTGCACAAACAATAGAAGGCAAATTTCCACTCGCGTAAGAGAGATACGTTCGAGCAAACGCGTCAACCGTACGCAAACTCGAATTTTTTCCCCTCTTTATCTTCCTCGCGACTGTACTCGTGATGCGGCAAAGTCATAGCACTTTAAACAAATGAGTATAAACTGTTAATCAAATACTCTTCACGGTATTGTACACCGGTAATGTTTCGAAAATCGCGACCCAGCACCTGACGTTTGTTCCACACGACGACTCGTAACGCGAGCTCGCCCTCTCTTCCATACACGAGCTTTCCCGAATCAAAAGCTCTCGAGTTCTTGGAACAACAGTNTTTTTTTTTTTTTTTTTTTTTTTTTTTTTTTTTTTTTTTTTTTTTTTTTTTCTTAACATTTTTCATAGGATATTTTTTTGCCGTATTTTTTTTCGCTTTTTCTCAAAAACTCCATTTAAGTATGATTACATCACCGTGATCAATTTGTGAGAGTACTCTTTCGTGATTAAAAACATTTTTGTAGGCACTCAGAAATTACGAAACTCCAAGGAATAAAAAAAAAAAAAAAGGTTCTAATGACTATTTGTTATTGCGTGTACCAGCAAACATATCTAGAAATCATGGATGGGGCCGACAGAGTTACGTATAAATACATCACACGTGCAAGTGTAAATATTTAAGTAGAACATGACTTGATTAGGTCAGACGCAAACGCATTTACTCGTACTAACTGCAGTTGAATAATAAGACTTGTACTAAATTTATACAATAAAATGTGATGAAGTTTATGAAATGAATTTAAATATCAGGCAATAGTCGTCAAAAAATTGTGATAATCAATCACCACTTTTATTGTTTCCATTTCGTATTTGGTAATCACATCTGCTTGTAGAATTATTTTAACCCCTAAAGGTACTAAATGCTAACCCTCTCGAAAATAAGGTAATGAGGAATTTCGTGCAGATAAATTCATGAAATCTTAATTATTTTACTCAGGGTTTTGCTAAATCTATTCAATCGATCAAAATGTGTCATTTTTTGTGAAAAGCTCACTTGTAGCACGAGGTCAGAGGACGAAGTACGGAAAGAGCTGTTACTTATATGATGCGCGCACGTAGCAGTGCTGCTGCTGCAACAGTTTCCGAATAAGGACAAAAGTAGGGAGAAAGGGAGGGAGCAGAACTCTGTCAAGGAGCAGCAGAGCAGTAGTGCGAAGCTCCTGGCTGATACTCTATACGTACTCGTCGGCATCTATCGACCCATCTGATTCCATTTCTCCTTCGTACATTCTTCATTCTCTCGTATGGAGAGCGAACTTGTTCTGCACCCTGTACAGCCGCGTATGGCACGAGAAGGAGCTGCGCCCCTTTTTTCTATCACGTTCAAATATACATACATGCACCCCCCTCCCCACTTACTCCACTGCTTGTTTTATGTGCCCCTTTTACATGCATCATTTTTTTTTTTCCTTTTACAGTGACACATCGTTGGTTTTCTGTTCTCAATTTTTTCCTTCGTTCGTGTCACTGAGTCGCCTCCCTGATTTACCTTACGTTGACAGCTGGTCCCTTGTGCGATGTTGTACCCATCGGGAGACAAAAATATTCGGTCTAATACGAAGAGTATAGCATAATAGCCAAAGGGTGCGTGCAACACGGCGCGCTTCGAAAACTTAAAGCATTGATAAATATGAAAAAAAAAAAATTTATTTTGACCAATTTGACCCTGAATTTTCAGATAACCTACTAGTTACATCAAATATGTGTTAAATTTAAAAAGTTTCGCATTCGGTCCACCTTAATAAAAGCGGTCCCAATCAACTTTTTTAGCGATAGAAAAATGGATAAAGTCGTCTCATTTAAGATACGCGTTGTAATAGTCTGTGAACAGCCATGGTGTAAGCGAAAGTTTTATCGCACTATAGATTTGCACATTGGCATGCCGATCGGAAAATGTTTTTCTTTATTTATTCTTCTTTTTCTTCTTCTGTGTTGGTCGAGAGCACGAGAAAATGAATCCGCTTCGTCTTGGAAACTCATCCGCGCACACACACGCGTGAATCGATAGATGTTGCACAGGCGAACTCTCTTTTTCTTATACACTTGATGCTTTTCTTAGCTCTCGCGGTTTTCCGGTGAATCATCTTGTCGAGTGCCACCACCACCTATACACAGTAAGCCACTAAGACGAGAGAAAATAAAATGAATGTGAATGAAAAAATACGCAGGAAAACAATATCAACAAGTTTTGTCGCAAATTAAAGGTAAAGTAGGTATTGTATCCTGTAAATTTTTGTTTCACACTCTCATAAAAATAAAAAAAATTAAAAATAAATTTTAAAAAACCACTTGACCGCGTACATTTTTCATATTAATTTTTCCCGAAATTTTCACATTTTGTAAATTATTATTTCAGTTTTTCATCGCGAGCAAAATGTTTCTACAGGCTAGTATATGTACTATGCAACTTTAAAGTAATGTACGCATTCTTGAAAGTAACAAAAAAGAGGAGGAAAAAATAAAAAAATTACCGCTAAAGAAGGTGTGCATTAGTTTATGGCGTGACAAATTCTTGCTTAATTGACAACTATATACTTATCATTATTATTATACATTATACTGTTACTTTGTAATTCTTTTAATAGCAACAAATTATTTTCAATTACTTTACCTTTATCTAAATATCCAGAATTATAAATTTTCACTCATTTAGGTGTGCATTTAAATTAAGTACCTACGCTACCTTTAATTTAAAAAGCTTTCGATAAAAAAATTGTAAACAATTTTTGATTACGTAACTGTATACATCTTTATGAACTAACAATAGTAAAAAAAGCTATTTTCGGCCTTCCTGTGTTAATTTATTCGACATCCCACTGTACGATGATATATTGTACATTAGTGTAATATATTTTTCGATAGAAATTTACAGTGCCAATTTTTACAATTAAAAGTAGAATTTTAATTATAATAAAAAAAAAATTACGTATCATACGAGCTCATTTAGTATACAAACACTCCTCAATTGAAAATGTTTCTAAACGATTCATGAGTTGGATAGCAGAAATCTCATTACTGGACTCGAGTATGCTCTGTAGACATCAAAGTCCATTGATGTCTCAGTCAGCAATGCTACTTAAAAAAAAAAAAAAAATCCAGTTGAATGTCTGCTGGTAAAACCTTGTCGATGAAAACTGTATCCCCAAAAACACGCACGAAGAAATGTGGAAGTAAATGGGGGGGGGGGGGGAGAGTTGCTGCCAAAGCTCAAAAAAGGCGAGGACGGTAGCAAAAAAGTAAAAACGAAAGCTAGGAACTATAACGATTTTCATTCATGCTTTCATCGCTCGCAAACTCGAGACTGCATGTAACGCCCCTCCCCTCCCTCCTCGGTCTCTGTTTATCGCACACTCTTCCTTTCCGTCCCTGCCTCTCTTTCTCATATGCTTTTCACCTTACCGGTGTCGGCATCAGCTCGGTGGGTTCGAGTGTGAAATTGCTTTTAAATATACGGAATGCCGGTATGCGAGTGCACTTGTACAGCTCGCATACCTCGTGGGCTCTCTATCTCCTCCCTCTATTTTCCGTCTCGTATCCAATATTGAGTCGGATGTTGGGTCTGTGTATTGGAGCAAAATAAAAAAAAATAAAAAAAAAAATTTTCCCCAGCCATGACAGCTACTTATAACGTCAAAATTAATACATCGAAATTGTTCAAAAAATCTATCGCTAATGAGAAAGATGAGTTCTTTTCTCATTCAAATTTGTATTTTTTTTTTTTTTTTTAAGTTATTATTTTATGTTTGTATGAAGAGGGTTTGTTAAACAGCAGCAGAATTGCAGGCCCACTTTGTTCGTCTTTGTGTTGCAGGTACCGGTGAGTCCGGCAAATCGACGTTCATCAAACAGATGCGAATTATCCACGGCGCCGGTTACTCGGACGAGGATAAGAAGGGCTTCATAAAACTGGTCTACCAAAATATCTTCATGGCCATGCAGTCCATGATCCGAGCGATGGATCTCCTAAATATTTCGTACGCGGACTCGTCATGTATAGTAAGTTTCGGACTTTACCGCGAGCATACGTGAATTCAACTACATAGGCCTCGTTTGTTTGCTTATTTTTTTAAATTATTATTTTTTTTTTTTTTAATCGTCAACTCAACGCAACGATGCGCAAAGCAATCGACAAGTGGATCAACGTTTCGCGCGGATTGAAAATTTCATGCGCCGCACCGGTAGATTGGCGTACAAATTGACGCCGCTTAATTGACAGGCGTTTAATTGGCGATAAAAAGTGCACGCCTCGACAAAACTGCAAGCTCTCGCCGATAAAACGATCGAGGCCTGTGTAGCTTGATAAAGCAAAGCTCCCCGTCGACAAAGTTGCTTTTTGCCGATGGCATTTTCTTTGTTACGCAACTCGTCATCGGCCAAATTATCCTTTCTCATTTTCTATTAGACGATAATTGTTTTTTTTTTTTCCCTCTTCCTCTCTCTCTCTCTCTCTCTTCTTGTCAATTAAGGAAAAAGCCGAACTCGTGAGGTCCATCGACTTCGAAACGGTCACGGCGTTCGAGGAGCCTTACGTGCAGGCGATAAAAGATCTTTGGGCGGACTCCGGAATACAGGAGTGCTACGATCGCAGACGAGAGTACCAGCTCACAGATTCTGCCAAATAGTAAGTTCATTGCACTACGAGTCGGACTAGAGTCGCCGATTTTATCATACATGTTTTTCTCTCTTCACGTGACAAATCAATTTCAACTGTATTAGGCAGTAAAAAAAATGTTTATGCATCTAAAATCCCGAAGGAGATCATGTTTATTTTCGGAGGCATCAAAAAATTTTTTTTACAATCCAGCAAATGGTAGAGATGTTTACAAACCATTAATTTTACTTATTCAGCAGCTTCTTCGTTATCAAAGCGAATTAGAGCAATAGCGGAATTATCTCTGTTACCAAATCGTTTACACTACCTAGAATCCAATACATGTTTATTATTGATGCCTTGGTGCCCTAAGACTCCGGGACCATTTCACACCATTATACACCTCATATATCTAGAATACGGATTTTCGAAATTGTTTTTTATTATTACATTTATAGCTTAGAAATCCCACAGACACGAGATTTATCTTACGATAATGGTTAAGAAAGCATGGGACTTGGAGAATCTAAATGTGTACCATTTTAAGTGCACGAAAAAAAGAAAAAGAAAAAAAAAAAAATGTCATTAAAAGAAAAAAAAGGAAGGAGATGAAGAAGAGAGGGTTGTTGGCGGGGATATTAAGTAAATGATGTTACAGTTACCTGATGGAGATAGACCGGGTTGCGGCGCCAAACTACCTCCCGACAGAACAGGACATTCTGCGTGTAAGAGTGCCCACAACCGGTATAATCGAATATCCCTTTGACTTGGAAGAAATACGATTTAGGTACGTCGCAACGTGGCAGAGAAAACAATATTACGTGCTGGATTATGAGATGATGATGATGATGATGAGAATATTGGTGCACAATCTTCGCTCGGCACAACTCGCATGGGTCTCTCTTATACTGGGCTGATCTGTACATACATATATATCTCTGCCTGGCTGCCTCTCTTTCTCTATTTATCTCCATCCATTGTCCTTCTTCTCACCTTATATACATATACTTACTGCTGCTGACTGATGTTTTCCACCGCATGTGCCCAGCGTCCTGCGCATGAGGGTCAACGACACACGCACACACACACAAACAAACACGTACACATGGCATCACTCAAGCTACTTCAATTGTTTTTATCACTAATCAGCTATTAACAAAATTGTGTCTGTGCTGTTTTTAAGATGTAGCATTGTATTATTCTTTAATCATTGCTCGACAAAATTTTTAATTTATTGAAAAAAAAGACAACTACCTGGTACAGCGTCGACACAATTTTTCATTCATAGAGTGAGCTTTAAATTTTTAATATAGCAAACTTGATGAAAAATAATGTATTAACTTGTTCTGCACGATAAGTAGTAAGTTAAATCGAACTTGTTTGACATTAGCTGTTTTACAGGTTGCACGAAAACAGGGACAAAGAGCTCCGGCCGACCTATTGGGCTGCCCTCTTTTTTTTTTTTTTTTTTTTTTTTTTTTTTTTTTTTTTTTTTTTTTTTTTTTTTTTTTNTTTATTTTTTTTTTTTTTTTTCAATTCAATGTGTTATAATTTAACTTCATTACTAACAAAATTCTTTTTTTTCCAAAATGCATGGCATATATAACCGCATGACGAGAGACAACGGCTTGGTTTGTGTTACAGTTATATTAGTGATATAGATCGCATCGAAAAACCCGAGTACCTTCCTAGTGAGCAAGATATTCTGCGAGCTCGAGTTCCTACAACCGGAATTTTAGAGTATCCGTTTGATCTGGACGGCATCATATTTAGGTACTCATTGCAAAATGTCGAAAAATCAGTACACATTTGATGCATACGTATTACTTCATCTTGAAACGTTTTGTTGATGAATTTTTTTTTTTTTTTTTTGTTCCTACGAGTTTTAAATAATTTGAAAATAATTGAACTAAAAAAAAAAAAAATATTTTATTTATAAGTTATCCCAAAGTTATTTACAGTCACAAATAAAAATTACAAAAATTCACTCTCAAGCTAGTACCATTGATACAAAGTACACGATTTTGAAGATGGCGTTTATTAGAGCACTGTTTGAAGTACATTTTCGATGGCGGTACAAAATGTTCTAAGGAACCAAGCCTTGTGAGACGTTATACCATATTTTCGTACTTTTCTTGCCTTGAATGTTTCTAAAGCATGTCTAATACTTATTGGTGTATGGATATTTTTTATTCATTCTTATTTTCATGTGTATTTGTGTTGGGGAAAAATTGTTATTAACGCATGCATATAAAATTTAATAACTCAATCAGATGCTTTTTTTTAACATTTGGCTTTTTGAATGTTTGATGGTTGTTTTTTTTTTTTTTTTTTTTTTTTTTTTTTCTTTTTTTTTTTTTNGTACAAATGAATAGTGTTTAAAATCGATATTATCTTTGATCACTGAAATTTTACAGGATGGTAGATGTCGGTGGCCAGCGATCGGAGAGAAGAAAATGGATTCACTGTTTCGAGAACGTCACTTCCATTATATTTTTAGTAGCATTAAGTGAATACGATCAAATTCTGTTTGAGTCGGAAAACGAGGTGATTGTTTTATTACAAATTAATATTCTGCTTGAAGTTGAAATTCGCATTTTTCCGCAACTAAATGTGTTACCGTTTCAACATTACAGAATCGAATGGAAGAAAGTAAGGCATTGTTCAAGACGATCATAACATATCCCTGGTTTCAACACTCGTCGGTGATTCTGTTCTTGAATAAAAAAGATCTGTTGGAAGAAAAGATCATGTACTCACATCTAGTAGATTATTTTCCAGAGTATGATGGTAAGTCATTGATTATTTACATTTAATTACTTATTACCGAAATAATGTGTATCATCTTTAAGGGTCTATTACTATTCCGGGAATCGTGTAAACATAATTATTTTCCCCATGATTACACCACAATATTTTTTTTTCTTTTTTTTTATATCATTAAAAATATTTCTCATACCTTTATTTATTCGGACTTGCACCTCGTTCGGTTTTTATAGTAAAGAATCATCGTTGAGTTTAACATAATGGTATCGTGATAAAACAAAAATTTATCTCAAATTGAATGGCACATAGGACCCAAACAACAACACGAGCCAGCTCGGGAATTCATCTTAAAAGGCTATCTCGTATGTAATCCCGATCCCGATCGCACGTGCTACTCTCATTTTACCACCGCGACAGGTCTGGTAACAAAGTTTTAAGTAAAAATCAACTACTTTGGTCGGTAGCTTTTGCCTTTGAACTAGGCGCTGATCATGTATTTCGTGCTATTTTATCGTATAAGAGAATCAAAGTCGCTCGAAAAAAAAAAGACCACAATTCCAAGATAAACACCAAGTCCCCGAATTTACAAGCATCGACAAAAAAAAACGATTGGCAAAACGTCCATTAACGTAACATTATTAATTACAAGAGCGACTTTGCTTCGAACTGTATACATTGCACAAGTAGACGCTGTTGTTATGTACCGTCCTTCGTAGCCGCGCAACCTCAACAAAGACTTTGGATTATCAAAACGGTTTCCTGACTCATTGTGCGCTGCATAACAGACTCCACGCGCGCCATCCGCATTTGCCCGACCGACTTGGCACAATAACTACGTGACGTATTTATTTTTCTGTGAAACGAATAGATAGAAAAAAAATAAAATTGTAAATCCTGGAATTTATAACACTTCTTTGTGGGGAGGGGAAAAAAAAAAACCACAACGGCACAAGCGGAACCGGATGTAAGTCTCCTCCTTGAACCTGAAATGGGTACATCCCTCCAAAGGCCATCGCGAAAAATGCGATTAGACGAGCGCAGCAAGCCACACGTACATGCACAGAAAAACACACGCGGCCTCCACTTGGCGAATAATAGCTTTAGCGAGCCCCGAGCTCACTCTTCGTGAATTTCCCTACATGCACACCTGCTGGCACGCACTATTTTCCCTTCCGTCATCCCCCTCCTCCTCCTCATCCCTAATGCGATAAGAGCGGCCTCGAAGACGAGCTATTGGATTTCGGGATTTCAAGCCGGTTACGAGTACAACACACACACGCGTACCCTTGACCATCGACCATGTTTTTCTGTACATGTGCACGTTAGTAGGCATTATACGTATACACGTTGGCGCGAGCGCGCGCGGAAGTTTTTCGGACGTTTTGTTCGGAAAAGGGATGAGAGGGGACGTGTGTACAGGGTCCCGGGATCCTCGACACTGCACCAGCCTTGACCATAGGCACGCGTCAGCCTTGCCCTCGAACGATCGCCGAGCACTTTTAATCTAATTTCACGAGGCTCGGCTCCACGTGCTCGGCCCCGTCCGTTTGTACGAGGCACTTGGTGTACACGCGTTCGGCTAATCGCGCTTGATCCGCGGTAACATGTACGAGGAAAGAAGAGGAAAGATTGGAAGGAATCCAAGAGCTTCGAAATCGAAAATCGTGGCTCGCCGCATCTCGTTCGAGTACACGCAGGTTGGCATAACTGTGTACTCGATACCGCGGGAAAAAGGCTCGAAGAAGCTGCTGATGTTTTTTGTGGTTTTCCAAGGAGGTCCCTCCTCTCCCACGTCTGTTCGTAATAATCGCGCTCTCGTTAATCGCATTTTTAGCTTTGTCCACGCAAGAAGCTCTTTGGTGGCTTTTTGCAAGCTGTAGGCCGGGCCAATACTTCCTTTTTCGTCTACCCGTATTCTCGAAAAATTGGATCAGCCTCAATTAACCAACGCGTCTTACAACGTGCTCGATCACATTATACCTTGTACCAATTGTGTTCACGTCACACGAGTGTAGATTATTTTATCGTTAATCAGTAAATGCCAAATAAACAAGTTATCTTTTGTACTAGAGTTGTGCTTGTAACATTGAGAAAAAAAAAGCTTTAAAAAATCCATAAATCAAAAGTATCACGTAATTAATCACGATGAATCCATTATCACGTATTACGATCCTCAGTTTCGCATCCATCCAATCGAATCAACATTTAGAATATCATATGCGTAAATCGAAGCTAGAGATATGTACATTATCAAGCATAAGGAGAGAGAGAGATAGAGAGAGAGGGGGGGGCGTAGAGAATCCGACAGATAACGCTGTAAGCTTGCCATTTGTTCTTGTTGTTGCATTGTCAATTAGGTCCTCAAAGGGACCCATCCGCAGCAAGGGAGTTTATCCTCAGGATGTTCGTGGACCTCAATCCGGACAGTGAAAAGATTATCTATTCTCACTTTACGTGCGCCACAGGTAAGTGCGCTTCTCCGCTCCGAACAACGATCCTGCTCGGCTTTTGTGCACCTAACACACTTTGCTTTGTACAATGACCCATGTAACACTGCCTTACGCGTCTGCATGGGTGATGTGGATGTGCTTGCTTAATCAATGTTAGACACTATATATAATTTATGTTTGTGATTGATTTACCAAATGACAAAGTGTGTCGATGAAAGAGGGATCGGCTGGCTGGTCGAGGGAAGCAAGCAGAGGAGTAAAGGTCCTTCTTTGATCGCAAACAAATGTAACATATATAATCGATCTAACGCTGCGTTTGTGTTTTCGTTTGCATGCCGCATACTGGGGACGTGGGTGCCACGTGTGTCCTTTTTCTCTGCACGATTACAGACACGGAAAACATCAAGCTCGTGTTTTGCGCCGTTAAGGACACGATTATGCAGAACGCACTCAAGGAATTCAATTTGGCTTGAATCGGCGCAACCATCGAGCTTGGGGCTGTATAACTGCGTTGTTCCTTCTCGATGCGCACTGTATGGAGTATTTAACAGCATGGCCCACCGGAGGAGTCGAGACTCTCTCCTAGTTTTGTTAATTTTTCAAGAATTTTATTTTATTTTTTAATTTTT